CGCCGCGGAGCCCCCCGCGCCGCCTGCTCCTCCTGAGGAGGACCCGGGGCAGGACAGTGGCCCCGAAGACCTGCCAATGGTCAGGTGAGCGACCGGAGACACCGCGGCTGCCGCGGGCGGGAAGGGCGCCCCGAGGGTGCGTCGGGCGGGCGCCGCGCGTCAGGGCGGGGGCGCATCTTTGCGGGGGCCGGGAGGGAGGAGAGTCTCTCTGTGTACCCCTGTCACCGCGGGCCGTCTGGGGTGGATGAGCGGGCTCTGCATTGGGGAGCGCGGGGAGGGCCCCTGTAGGGGTCTGGGCTCTGGCTTGACAGGTGTCGGGCGGGTGGGACTCGGTCTTAGCGCGAAGTGACAGGTGCCGCCTTTCCCTTCCGAAACCCGAGGCTCGCGGGTGGCGAGCAGCTTAAGAGGCTCCGTTAAACGCAATAAATAAGTAAATAAGTAAGTAAATAAATAGTCTACGGTGTCTGGTAAAGCATTTTTCCGCTGTTGAGATTTGTAGTAACTCCGGTTGTCGGTTGCCTTTTTATTTTGGCTGCCTGGATGCAACCGGTTGCAAATATTTTTCTTTGAATTTGCACTGTCTCTGAAGCCGAGTCCAGGCGGAAGCCAACTGGAAAAGTCTTGGATGCTGTGGCACAGATGCCATCCGACTAAAGCGTATGGTGCTGGGTGTCAGTCGCCCCTCTCGGACACTGGGCTCAGGTGCTTTGTGGGGATCCCTTACTTGAGAACTTCGAGGCCCTGGCGGTTCAGAGTCATTGGTAGTGACTGGTGGAACATAACTCTTTGGAAGAATTACTGTATGAGCAATAGTTTCGTGAACCATTGAACCTAAGTGTTAAAAGTTTCAAAACTTTTACTTCCTCCCCTCCCCCCCAATACAAAACTCTTGTATGTTTGTCGGCTTCAGCATATCTCACCATTCTTACGTTTTTGCTTTTTGGCTTTGAGCCAGCAAGGATCCTGGTGTCTCCTTACTTGTTTTTGTTTGTTTGGGTACAAAGTTAGTGGTGTTTTTGTGTTCACATGGAACTACCTCCCCCCCATTCTAAATTTCTAAATTTAAGTAAATTTGGATGCATTAGAACATGATAAGGAGATATTTAATGTGTTGCAACGTCTTTCTTTTCTTGATTGTGATATATTTTTTAAAAAGATTTATTTATTTATGCATACAGAACTGGGGTACCAGTCAGAGGTGCAGGGAGGCCGGTGAAAGGATTCACCAGACAGAGTGGGGAGCTGGATAGGATGAAGTACACTGCTGAGGGGAATAGCAGGCGGATCAGGAGAGGTCTGCCTCACCATGTGGATCACCTCCAGCCCGGCCCGGGGATCGAACTCTCACTTAGGCAGCTGTGGGGGGCCCTGATTGTGATATTTTATGGAGAAGAAACTAAGATTGAAGTACCATCATTATTGTCCACATCGTCCCTACTTGAGATTATAATATCCATTGCAGGGGAATGGAACTCCTTTCTGGCCCTCTCCACTCACTCCCATCACCAAGTCCTATTTCTTGCAACTCCCCTGATAGTGAGTTCACATCAAATTGTAAAAAGTTGGAATCAGCTTTTGGAAATAACATGTGAAAGACTATTAATAATTCATATATATAAATGAACTGTCTTATGTCTCAGTTAAGTCATTCTCTAAATTGAAAAGCAAGTCTGGGAATGTTCTGAGAGAAGACATTAATTTCTCAGTAAACCTTGATGTATATCTAATGCTCTAAAGTTTCCTTTTATAAAGGGCAGTAAGTCTATTTTAAAGACTTCTATGTTATCCACAAGCTTTGAAAACATTCTAGATTATTGTAGGGTAGCCAGAAATATTAAAGTTCTGGCGATCACTTAGGAAAAGAAGGATATTGTTTCTTTTATCTTTTTTCACCAACACATTATTTTATATCCATTTAAATGAGGGCACTCTTGGAATTTCTCCTGTAAGTCAAAACCTTGCAAGATGCAGTCTGCTTTTGATTATCCTCACTCAAAGACGATTTGATTAGCATGAGCTATGGAAGGATAGATTTACTACTTAGCAAGGCAAAACCATTGAAATCTGAAATGAAGAAAACTTACTTAGGGATGTAGTCAGGTCTGTACAACTGCAGGAAATAGTCATTAATACACGTCACTTTCATTGTTAAAACATGCCATTTTCATTGTTCAGATAGCCAAGAGTTAATTATGTTTTGAAGGAGGGTTGTCAATATTGAGTCATGGTTAAGAGCATGAATTATGGAATTAGACTGTCACTTTCATTGTTAAAACATGCCGTTTTCATTGTTCAGATAGCCAAGAGTTAATTATGTTTTGCAGGAGGGTTGTCAATATTGAGTCATGGTTAAGAGCATGAATTTTGGAATAGACTGTTGGTTTTATATCAAGATGTCCCATTTACTGGCCTCAGGTGAATGATTTAGCTTTTTTGTAAAACAAGGCTAGTAAGTATAGTTGCCTAATAGGTCTGTTGTAGGGATTCAGCATAACTAGGCATCTAAGATACTTTGTATGGAGCTGCAGTAAGTACTCAAATATTATTAAGTGTTCCTCATGCTGTTATTATGATGTTACTAGATAATCAAACAGACATTTAAATGAATCAAAAGTAATTGGCCAACAAGATTTTATGGACAGCTTATTTTGGTTAAGGAACATCAGTAGAAGAGGATGAAAGATGTATAGTAATAGTTTGTCAAGGTAATCATCAAGTAAGAGGTACTAGTAAGTAATTAAAAAAATTCTAAGTGCAGATCGCATTTTTTTCAAAGTCACTGATTCTGTAACACTGTCTATTGATATTCCTCTTCTTGTTGTTCCAGTTTCCCAAATAGCTCCTTTATTCGCCACTTTCTTTCATAAAGCCATTTTACTGCTCTAAAGTTTGTGTTCACCAGTCCAGCAAATATTTTTCACTGTGTGGTTTTCTTAAAGAGAAAACTTAATATATGTTTACATTTGTAGTGTAATTTTTTCAAAGCTAATAAGATCTTAAAATATTTAGTGATACTTTCAAATAGTGCCCTTATTTATGCAAACTATTGATACAAGTGTTAACCTAATTTGACTTGTAAATATGTGCCTATTATATGTATATTTTCATTTGGTAGGCTTGAGTTTGAAGAAACTGAAGAACCTGATTTTACTGCATTATGTCAGAAATTAAAGATACCAGATCATGTCAGAGAAAGAGCTTGGCTCACTTGGGAAAAAGTTACATCTGTGGATGGAGTATTGGTAAGGATTTTCTTTAAATTTTTTGAAAATATTTTTCTCATTTAAAAAATTTTTGAAACTATAAAAAATTTGAGATACAAAGATAAGGAAAAGTTATTAATAATTTTATTACCCAGAGGTAATTTTAACTATAACAACGTAAATAACTGGAAAATAACTCCCTGTTATCAGTTCCCTGTCAAGTAGTTTATTTTTTATTTACTCTTTTTTTTTTTAATATTTATTTATTTATTCGTGCAGAACTGGGGTGCAGACCAGAGATGTGGAGGGTGAGAGGATTCACCAGGGACAGAGTGGGGTGCAGAACAGGCAGATGGACGAAGTACACTGCTGAGGGGAGCAGTGGGCGGGAAAGGAGAGGTCTGCTTCGCCATGTGGATCTCCTCGGGGTAGGCGGGGATCGAACTCAGGCCATGAGGAAGTGGCTTAAGCTTCTTTGTGCTGTGGTTTAGCCCGCTGCACCACCAGGGAGGGCCCCTGTTTACTCTTTTAAATATTTATTTATTTGTATGTACAGGAGCTAGGTAGAGGCCAGAGTTGGGGTGGTGGTGTGAGAAGATTCACCAGAGACTGAGCAGGGAGCAGAACAGGCAGATTTACTGACACACACTGCTGAGGGGAGCAGCGGCCCGGTCAGGAGAGGTCTGCCGTGCCATGTGGGTCAGCTCCCTGGCTGGGGATGGAACTTGTACTGCAGTGACTGCATATAGCTCCATAGTGCTGTGCTTTAATCCATTGTGCCACTAGGGCGGGCCCTCACATTTTGTTTCTAATTTGTAGAATACAAGATATTTTAGTTAATTTGATATATTTCTTCCATTTTTTTGTCTTTGTATTTATGTATATATAATAATAATAGCAGCAAATAATTACTAGTGTTTTGTATGTACTGGAACAATATAAGTGTTTTGTGAAAACTTAATAATACATTGAGATGTAAAGTACATAAAATCTTCATTTTACTCATGTAGACAGTGAAGTATAATGAGGTAATTGACCAAGGCTTTGGCTAATAAAGCTTAAAATACAAATTTGGAATCATATACATAGATAGTATAAATTTAGTTACATGTCATTTCATATAGTTTTACATCTTGATTTTTAAGTTTTCTTAACATTAGAGCATTTTTCTTAACATAAGAGTATTTTCTTATGTTATTAAGTATTTTTTGATATTTGATGATCTAGTTTCCAGGGATAATAAGTGTTTTATCCACTAGATATATTCTTCTTCTTCTTCTTCTTATTTTATATATATTACATCAATATTCATTTTCGTACCTTTGCTTTCTCCTCTCAGATGTACTCCCCATGAAATTCCCACCACCAAGTCACCGTCAACCACCACCATAGTCTTTTGTGCTCTTCCTGCCTGTTTTAATTCCTCTCCCTCTCTCTTCCACCACTGTATGTCTGCTTGATAGTTTTGTCCTTTTTCCCCCCCGGTCTCTTTTTTTAGTTCCCCTCTATTCTTCATACTAGTGAAACTATCCAGTATTTTTCTTTTTCCTTCTAACTTACTTCACTGAACATAATCCCTTCCAGTACATCCATGTTGCTACAAATGGCATGAGTCTATTTTTTTGATTGCTGAATAGTATTCCATTGTGTATCTATACCACATCTTGATCCACTTATTTGTTTTTGGCCATTTATGTTGTTTCCATATCTTAGCTGTTATAAATAGTGCTGAAATAAACATAAAAGTGCATGTATCCTTTTGAATTAATGTTTTTGTGTCCTTTGGGTAGATTTCTAGGAGTGGAATTGCTGGGTCATATGGTAGCTCCATTTTTTTGTAATTTGAGATACCTCCACACAACTTTCACAGAGGTTGGACCAGTTTACATTCTCACCAGCTCCACTAGATATATTTTAACTTGTTAACTCATACTGTTGTTGACATTTCCTCTCCCCACCCAACTCTTTGGCATTATAAAATAATCTGACAAATGTCTTCATTCATAATAAAAAACACCTGCTACAAAGGAAGGACTTGATTATTTTAATGATGGAAGGAATCTCTGATGTTAGATGCTTTTAATGAATGTACTTTTTCTTTCACATTATATTAGTATGTTTCTTTTTACTGGTCATATCAACACAGCAAAATATGTTTATGTATATTCCATAAAAATAACTCTAAAACCAGTAAAAAAAAAATGTGTGGTATTTGTCCATTTGGCCTACAATAACAAGATACCATTACCTGGGTAGTTTATGAAAACCAAATTTATTTCTTACAGTTTTGGAGACTAGGAAGGCCAGGGTATGGTGTTGACAGATTGTTTTTGTTAAAGATATATTTCCTGATTTGTAGATACTTCCTTTTTGCTATCCTCACATGGTAGGAGGAATAAGAGCTTTCTCAGGAGAGTCTTATAAGAGTGCTAAACCCATTCATGAGGGCTCTCCCAAGGCCTCACCTAAAACCATCACATTGGGCATTAGATTTTCAACATACGAATTTTCAACATACAAATTTCTTCATTTTGAAGAAACAGCATAATGAATTTTGGGATTTCATAAGGATTTAGTCCTTAGAATTAAATAATAATAATAAAAAGAGAAAACCAATCCTACAGTTCTAAAAATCTAACCATATCCTTGAACTCCTTACTGAAAAGGGAGGAATATGAAAGTATCTTGGATGAATGGTTTTGGTATTGTCATGACAAAACATCTAATATTTATTTCTACTGATTTGAGTCCTTCACATACAAAGCTCTTTTTGTGCATTAGCAGAGTCAGTTTTCTCACATCTCTATCTTATATAAATTATAGGCTTTTAAACTTGAGGTATTCCCAGTTCCTTATGTTTGTTTTCATTTTTCTTGCCATAGGGTAGTTTGTGTTATCTAATTTGTTGAGTTTATTTTCATAATTTACATCATTACACCTTTTACATCATTATATCTTCTTATCATATTTTGTTATTAATACCTGCTAGTGTATGTATCTTACATTTTGTAATATATAATGAAGTAACCCGCTTTTCTGTGTAATCTACCTTTTCTGATTTTAACCTATATACTTCTACTTTATTTTGCTAAGTACGAACATTAAAACATTAAAATACAAACATTTTTACTTTTAACTTGATTTTGCATTTTTATATTTAAAGTAGACATCATATGATTGAGTCAGTCTTTGGCTTTTTATTGATTTTTTATGAAATTGACATTTAACGTGATTATTGAAATGCTTAGGTTTAAATCTACCATCTTACTACTTGTTTTTAGCTCTGCTTTGCTTCCCCTCTTTTTCAAACTTTATTTGGATTGATTGATTTTTATGATTTCTTTCCACTCATATGTTTATTAGATATACTTCTTTGTGATATAATTTAACAGTGACTGTTTCAGGACTTAAAGTGTACTTTTGAAACTTTTCATAGTTCACCTTCAAATGATACTATACTACTTAATATATAGCATGAAAACCTTACATCAATATACTTCGGTTTATTTTTGCCATTGTTTTATTCATACTTTTTCTGCTTGTGATATCAGCTCCCATAATACATTATTATCTTTCATTTAAACAATTATTTTAAAAATAATTTTTTTTTAAAGATTTATTTGTTCATACAGAACTGGGGTACAGGCGAGAGGCTCAGGGGTGGCGATACGCTTCACCAGAGACAGAGTGGGGAGCAGAACAGGCAGATCTATGAAGTACACTGCTGAGGGGAGCAGCGGGCAGATCAGGAGAGGTCTGCCTTGCCATGTAGTCTCCTCCTGGGCAGGCGGGAATTGAACTCATGCGGAAGTGGCTTTAGCTTCTCAGTGCTGTGCTTTAACCTGCTGCGCCAGGGAGGGCCCTATTTTAAAAATAATTTTAAATAATAAGGAAAATTCTTTATACTTAGCCATTTAGCCACCGTTTCCTGTGCCCTTTATTTATTCTCTCATGTCAGGTCAGTTTTTTCATGTATCATTTCTTCTGCTTGAAGAATTTTTCCTTAGCATTTTTTATAATTGCAGGTGTGATGATAAATTGAATTCTTTCAGCATTTGTATGACTTAAAATGTCTATCCTGACTTAGGTTTTGAAAGATATTTTCACTGCTTAAAGAATTATAGTTTGACTTTACTGCCACACTCCAATACATTCAAGATGTTTTGCTGTCATCTTTTTGCTTGTATTATTTCCAAAGAGAAATCTGATGCTCTGTTTATTTCCGTCTGTAATATATATACTTATACTTTGATCTTTTTTTTTCTCGTTAGTGAGTTTTTAACATTTTGATCACGATGTGCTTTGGTGTAATTTTTTTTTTAGGATTCTTGTTGTGCTTCTTCAAATTGTGGGCTTATAGTTTTTTTTTTTAAATTTGCAACATTTTTGGTTTTATAAAAAAATTTCTTTTTTGGTCCCATCAGTTTGTCTCCTCTAGGCTCTTCAGTTATACACACATTTAACTATTTGCTTTCCCACAGTTCCGTTCATCCTCTATATTCAGTCTCCACCACCCCCATTTTCTGTGCTGTGCATTTGACTTTGGATACTTATTGCTTTGTTTCCAAATTCACCTATTTTCTTCTGCAACAATCTAATTTGCTCTTAATTCCATTCAGTATACATTTTGTCTCTGTAAATTCAATTTAGTTTATATATATGTATATTCCATGTTTCTACTTAACACTTTTTCCGTAGCTCAGAGGTTTGCAAACTTTTTCTACAAAGGCTAATAAATGTTTTAAACTATACAGTGATGCCATTGTAGCTTGTCTTAGACAAAATGAAAATGAATTGGTGTGGCTGTGTCCCAATAAGACTTCATTTACAAAATCAGTCGGTAGCCTGAATTTACTGATGTTTATTGAACTCTATGCTAGCTCCTTGGATATATGGGATACAGCTGTAACAATTCTTGTAATGTTCTTATCTAGCATTCTATGCTTGGGTTAAAACATTTTGATTGATTTTTCTCCTTATTATGGTATGGCTATTTTCCTGCTTTTAAAACCATTGTTTTTTCCTTCTTTTGTTTCACT